GATGATTATTTAATGTGAATATTGATCAGAGATGAGTTCTTCTGATATTTTGTGGGACAATTGTTCTGATCAGGTCATCAAACTTTAGATATTAAATAATACACTGTAATAAAATAAATTATTTTAACTCAGAAACATGACTGAAACCAGTTTACATCAAAAACTTTAACTCCATTTTGTAAGTTACAAAACATTCTTGATTAATTATTTTTAAGGTTTTTTGTCACAATACAAATAAAGATTCCTAAAGTTATTTGATTTGCTTCAACTGTTTTTGGACTAAAATTAATTTATTGAGTTTTAAAGAGTAATCTAACCTTTAAAAATAAGAAGCTGAGATAAAGACTCACAATGTGTAATCCTCATGACCCCCTTTTAAAGCTTTGGCGACCCCTAGTGGGGGTCCCGACCCTCAGGTTGGAGGTCAGGACAGTAAAAGATAAAACTGAACCACCTCTCACTCTGTTATAGGATATATTGATTATCAGAGTGACGGGGGAGGAGAGGGAGGGTCAGATATAAAGTCTCTCTTACCGTTAACGCTAACGCGACCTCGGCTACTGCTGATGTTATTTTCTCTTCAATGCAACGACATCATCACGCAGTTAATTATCATTTGTATTAATCATCATTGGGGATAATTAGCAGTTGATTACCATTCACACCAATAAAGAGGAGCAAGGAACCGAAGTCAAAACTTAATGGCTGCTTCCATTTCAGCTGAAGATAAAAGAGAGGGAGGGAGAGAGAGAGAGAGAGAGAGGAAGGTAGAGAGAGGGAAAGAGAGAGAGAGAGGGGGAGAGAGAGAGGAAGATAGAGATAGAGGGAGAGAGAAAGAGAGGAAGGTAGAGAGAGACAGAGGGAGAGAGAGAGGAGGAGAGAGGAGAGGAGAACAGAGAGAGAGAGGTGAGAGAGGGAAGAATGAGGATGAGTTGTGAGTTGTCATAGAACGGGACATAGCCAAGAATGCCTGTCTAACCTCACAGTGTCCTCTCGTGTGTCGTGTGTGTTGTGTGTGGTGTGTGTGTGTGTGTGTGTGTTAAAAAAAGCCCCCTGATCTACATGCTCGCTGTTGCTATGGCAACGCGGTTGAACAATTTTCGCAGTTCCCGTTTTAAAACTACCATCCTACCTGCTGACTCTCTCTCTCTCTCTCCTGTCAACCTCGCTCGGCCCTGCTGCTGTCTGTCACACACACACACATCTGGAGCACTCCACGATGACTGGGGGGGGGGCATCATCAGGTATTGATTTCCAATATGAGATCAAACTGAGAGTTTAGATCTGCACTCCATGTTTAAAGGAGCAGTTTGTAACAATCTAATTTATTTGATTAAAATGTAATAAAATATTAAATATCCTTTGTTTTCGACAGTTAGCCTAGAAGGGTCAAACAAACACATAAGTCTACACACTGGGACTTTAAAGGACCAGAAATACATGTTGGGTTTAGAAATCTTTAGTGTAATCTGTAACATTTCCGTCATTAAACAGTGACATAAGCTCTGGCTCTATGTTCTATATGTTGAGTTCCTTACATTAATCCAAAATGTTCCAAACATGTTCAAAACTCAGAGAAACCGGTCGCTGTCGATGGCGTCAGTTTTTACATAATCAAAACATTGATCTGTCATGTGATATATCACTATAGACACCATGTATAGACAAAATATTTGCTTCAAAATTACTAACAAAATCTCCCACTGTATTTAATTTGTACAAAAAACCTATAAGAAAATATCTATAACCATAACTACAATATAACAGTTTTCCACTACAAGTAATAAATACATTTCTTTTTTAAAACAAACAAAAGTCGCATCTACACGTCCAGCTTCTCTCAAAATATAATCCCTTAACTCCAGGAAGTCCTCCAGATCGCCTCCACTCCTCCAGAAGCCAACATCATCCCCGTCCCCTCTCTGACCAACACAGGGCCGTCTCCATTTAACCATACATGCTCCCAAGAGACGGGATGATTCATTTCCGATCGAAATGTGGCTGCCAATTAGAAGTAAAACTCTCTTCCTCTTCCCCACCTTACAGCGCCGGTTCAAGAAACACAGAAAGCTCATTTCCGTTCCTGGATGGAAATGTTCTAATTGAAGCACAATGGGAATGTGTTAACCTTTTAATAGGAAGCTTGTATATGCTTTGTTGTTTTCGTCTGAGTGATTGTGTTGAATTCATTTCCCGAGAAGTTCCTGAAAGAAATCTTTATTTGGAACGAATTAAAGGTAAAAACCAGAGACAGTGCTCAATTAATACAACCTTCCAAGCCATGTAATTTAAATTTAAAATATTAACCTGAGTGTTTTAGTGAGTGCAAAGCCAGGTCGGCTCAAAACAAAGGAAAACTACAGGACAGAAAAAACAAGAATGCAGCACTTTAAATGAGACGTTTTTCATTTCAAAAACCTTTAAATGTGAACCCATGGTGGCGCTAGAAAGTTGTTTACTCCTTTTGTTTTTCTGCCTGTGTTAGCTGTTTGAATCAACTGCTTCATGTATAAATAGATAATACATTATTGATAACTTGACGATAGGTCAGTCGATCAATCGCTCTGGAACCACCGACTGTCATTGTGGGTTCCCCAGGGTTGGGTGATATAATCGGCTATCCCCCAGCCAATGTTTTTTGGGGATAGATTAACCGGGTCTGCCTCCCTGACAGAAGGAGCACACAGCCTCAAAGCGAACGAGCAAGAGGAAAAGCAGCTGTAGAGTCCGAGTATTGTTCACATCTAACTGCAGTGAATTAAGGGTTAATTTCGACAGT